GAGAGATTAACAGATTTAGTAAGCACTTGGAATTTCGAATTCAATAGGTATGTGCATCGTTAGTATCCGTTTATTTTATACGAGACATTTCCACTTCCGACGTGGACACGACTAAAGGAGTATCCTAACGATGAGACAACGGTACAACCCCTGCTCGGTCCAATGGTATCTGCGCGCGTGTGCAGAATTGAACGGGAAGAGGCGAGAAGCGGGATGGAAACGGTGGGGTTGAGTAGGCGGAAAGCAGAGTTAGGGAACAAGATAAACCTCAATTATGCCGATTGAACATCCTCCGAGGGATGCTGGGTAGGGGAAGTTCGCTCCTCCTACTTTTCCTGCCACGTGATCAAGGGCAACCCCCCTTTCTTCCTTCCTTCCTTCCTTCCGTTCTTTCATCTTCCTTTGCGCGCCAAAGTGGCATACGCTGGCGAACGAACGGTTCGCGATGTCGACATTCGTTGAAACGTCGCGTATTTCGCCATGAATCTCTCTATCTCCAGACGACGATGAGTAGTCGTGGCGGAAACTGTCGTGAATCGTCAACGGGAAGAAACGATTTTAACGATCGATCCCGTGGACGAAGAGGGCTCGAAGGTGAAGAGAGGAGAGAGAGGAAGTGGCAAGGTGCAAAACAATCGTTGACGCGAAATACCTGTTGGTCCGCGAAGAGGCGTTTTCAGGCAATCGTTCGAGAAAGAGGAAAAGAGGGGGAGGGAGAGTGACGAGAGAGGATGGGGGAAGGGGAGTGGGAGGAAGAGGAACAGAGAGAGAATTGGAAGGAAAAAGATGGGAGGAAGTGGGAGGAAAGAGAGGGAGATGCAGAAGCAGCCTACAGGCTCTCCTCGTGGCTCTCTCTCTCTCTCTTGCTCTCGTTTTCTCTCGCTCTCTCCCGTTCCCTCACTCCGTCTCTCCATCCTGTTTCTCTCTCGGTTTCTCCGTCCATCTCTGGTCCACTCCGCGCTCCGGTCTCTGTCGATCTCGGAGCCGCTAGGAGCCTCGCGCGTCTTTCCATCTCGGTTGGTAGTTTCACTTGCGATCGTGCGTCCTCGTCCCACGGATTGAATCTCTGAGGGTGGTGGCCGACGGTAGTGGTGGTGGTGTCCGGATGGTGGTGGTTATGGTGGGGGGGTAGTTGGTTTCTTCGTGCCTACCGCTCTCCCTATCTCTCCTTTCTCTCCCTATGGGAGGGCGAGGAGGGCCCCCGTAGCCGCGCACTGCGCACCGAGTTCATCATAGACAGACCGATCTCCCTGACAGCTCCTCGTCGGGCTTGAACGGAGGTGGAATCATCAGATTCTGTCCATCTCTTCTTCGGCTCGCAGTAGCGTGTCGGGATAACGAACGCAGAAACCACGGGGAATAACGAAAAGTGCCGGGCCCTGGGTGCTCTCTTTCTCGCGAATCTTCTCCAGGCTCACCGCGCGCCTCGCCATCGCCGATCGGTCCGTCCCGTCCGTCCCGTCCGTCTTCTCGGTTTTATCGAGCAGACCCTCTCCCTCTCTTCGATCTCTCGCTTTCATCCCCCCGTTTCACACGCTCTCCTTCCCTTCTTTCACCAACTTACTTTCTTCCTTCCTTCCTTCCGCCTTTTTCGCCTCTTTTTCATCGCGCACCGTACCTCGATCTCGCTAGTTTCTTTTTCGCGCTAGCTGCTGCCTGGCGACCGATCGAAATTCAAAGGAGCACCGTTGCCGCCGCGCGTTCCTCAGCTTCTCGGCCGACGGACGCACGTCCGTCGACACGCGCGCTCGGTGTCGTGGTGGGCGCGCGTAACGCGACCACGGGAAGTTTGCTATTCGACTGTTTGCACGGACAAAACGATAGCCGCGGTGGTACGCTTGCGAGACAGAGAGAGAGAGACAGAGAGACGGACGGAGAGCAACGGTGGAAGAGGAACACAAGCCGAAGGAGGGGGGATGTGTGCGTGGGAGGAGTAAGAGATCCCGGAGGGCGACTTTTCTTTTATTTGAGCTTGACACTTCGCCGTGAACGCGCGCACACACCGGAAGTACCAAACCGTCGGCCTTCGTCTTTTTCTTCGACGCTCGTCCGCGCGCGCCTTCGTCCGTCCACACCTCCGAAGAAACAGAGAGAGGGAGAGGGAGAGAGAGAGAGAGAGAGAGAGGAAGAGACCATCTCTAAGCGAATCAACACCGGAACACGGAGGAAACGCGGTTCTGCACCACCGACTTGGTCTCGCGACGCCGTGCGTGGAGGGTGCAAGGACCACGGCGACAGAATGCCACGATACCTGACAGCGACCGCGGCGAACAAGGGTGCCGCGACGCGCGTCTTCGTGGTCGGACGAGGATAAACGCTCTTCTCCTACTCCTTCCATCAGATTTACACCGGAAGTGTTGTTTTACCCGTTGGGATGTGTCGAGTATCCACGGGACACGGAGATCGATCGTGGAAAACGAGAGTTGCGCGAACATGTTTCGTATAAACTGTAGATTGGTGCATGGTTCGCGTGCAGCGGAGCAGTGTCAGTGATGTATTCCGATAGAATAATCATCATCCGAGAAGAGAAGAACCAAACAGTATTTTTCTCCCAAAGACGAGAGGAAGAAGGAGGCGACGACGTTTAGAAGACCAAAGGTGTTCTCTAATGTCCTCGGTGTTGGACAGCAGCGAGGCCGTGGTTATCGGTAACTAGAGAAGGTGGTGTGTATCGGAAGCGAAGGAAGAAACGAGGTGAAAATCTAACGGTGGTCGGTCGGCGAAACTAACCGTTCGATCGTCATCGAGGATATTGTCCCGGGGTAGTTTTCGGAACGACCCCTCGAAGCGGCGAAACTGGAAGCTCTCGAATCGTACGGAACGTCAAAGCAGAAGCGCCGGTGCCCGGGGCGAGGAGGAGTCCTCGACGCGTGCCAGGCCGCTGATCACAGGCACCGCGCCAGAGACGGGAGACGGGAAGAGTAGGAGAGGGATTCGGGAGAAAAAAGCGTGCAGAAAGCAGAGAGAAAGAAGGAGAGACGGCATCGTCACTCGAGCGAGGGGTCCTTCCGTTCGGGTGCTAGGGGTGTGCAGCCTTGGACGAGGGGTCGCACTCGACTCTTTTAAAGTGGGCAAACCGCGCAAAGAATAAGAGACGTCCTCGGGGCGATGACAGGATGCCTCCTTCTCGATCAGGACGCGTCTACGGAGGACCACCGTCTAGGATCGCCGTTCGAATCGGACCTACCATTGCCCTATTGCTGATTCTCTTCGAGAATCGTCGGTGAGTAAACACACGCACGCACGCACGCACGCACACACACACTCGTCGCTTATTCTACGTCCTTCAATCCTCGCAATCACCTCGTTCGCTCTGTGGACGCCGGGCGGCCCCTTTTTTATCTTATCCTCTGCTCGATTTGTTATTATAGCTGTCGCACCACGTTATTCGACATTCGAACGGAGACGATTTCGATTCGATATCTAGTGTCACGTCCTGTTGAGTCTTGCGCTTCGATCGAGGATATTTATTTATTCGCCGCGATCTCCCTCCTCCCTCTACACGCATCACTAGGACAAGCTAAATTGGACGTTGAATGAAGGAGCGATACTTGCTGGCGATCCCTTCCTCCTGCTGTATACACGCTCAAGCATCAAGTCATTATCGCGAGTCGTTGTAGCATTTTCCCCGGGTAGAAGAGGCGAGAAACAAGAAAAGTAACGACGATAATGAAGATGTCGCAAGACAAAGAGGGAGGGAGAGAGAGAGAGAGAGAGAGGGGAGAAAGGAACGACGGGCCGTCGTGTCTAATTTGGTTGGGAAAAATTTACGGGCACGGTGGCAAGCGCGATTCTGGTCCGGTTTTTCTTCTGGTTCTCTTCGCTCTCGCGTCTCTTTCCACCTCTTGCGGAAAGAATCTGTCAATAGAGACGGTTCGCCGAGGCGGCGGTTCCGAGCGGAACACAATGACGGAGTGCAAATAGGCCCTTTCAACCATCTCCGTGCCACGAACAACCAACGATCCCGCTGCGATCTTCATTATGCTTCCCCGATCTCGCACCGGCACTGTGGTGTCGAACGCTCTGCACGCTCTAATCGAATCTTTCTTTCGTGCCGGAGGCTCGTCGAATCGCTCTCGCTCTTCGACCACGTTCACGTCTACACCGAACGAAATTGGGAAAACCGTTCGTTTTCCGTAATGCCGAGCTAAACGCGGAGAAGGAAGAGAGTTCCAGGAATCGCGATAAATTCCTCGGTTACTCACGCTTCCAAGAATACGATTCGCGCGTCTTCGTGTACACGAAACGACAAACATCCAGCACACAAACTATCTGCGACAATGTTGTGTCTTCGAGATAGAAGCGAGTAGAGGACCGTGTAAGTACGCAACGACGAACGCGGTCCGACCACGACCAACCGTCCGACATACTCTCCTTCGTGCCCACGCGGCTCCTCGTAAATAATTACAAACAGCATCCGGGAACAAGGCCGTACGTGCACCGACACGTTGCTCGCATGCACGCGCGTAGATATAGGCACGCGTGCGCTTCGCCGTATGTACGGAACGGCATTGAATTACGTACGGCATTGAATAATTCCCGTGATGTAATGCTCGATAAACTAGTTTGCACGACACGGCCCCGTTTACCACCCCGCGTCGCTCTTCGCTCTCCCCATTTCCTTCCCTTCTCTTCCCTTAACTGAACAATACCAGAAACCGTCGCCTACTCCGGCGTCTTCCTTCCACTCGGTGATCTCTCCGAAATATATCGGGACGATACCGGTGCACACAGGGTCCGTGCAAAGAAAGCAACCGACCGAGAGGCTTCGGTTCGCGCGGGAAAAATAAGAGAAGCAAAGGCGATTCGATATCTACCGCAGGAATTCTCGCGAGTCGCTCGTAACGAGTTCTCTCTCCGCGGGTATACCTCCATTAAACGCGAAATTCCGTTCCGTGATTCTCTCTCCCTCTCTCTCTCGTTGCGAACAAGTTAAATAAAACACGTGCATCCCCGTAGCCATCTTGGATTCTTCGGCAACCCCTTGGATCATTGCAAAAATGCAGGACGCGCTCTCTCGCGCGTCGTCGACCTTTCATTCGCTCCACCATTTCCCACGAGTTTCTCCCAACGACACGATCCGATGCTGCGAACGCGATCTTTCTCTCCTATTATTCCTTGTTACATATTTTTTTCGCGATAATCCGATCTCTATCTGTTGTCACCGGTGCGACGACGTGAGAGAGAGAGAGAGAGTGAGAGAGAGAGAGAGAAACGGTGGAAGGGTGGAGGACGCGAGAGAAACAACAAAGGAGGGTCAAAAAGTAACGGAAGGAATCCTTCGGACTCGGTCAGACTGGCACAGGTACGCGATGTCTTGGGTAATTTGTTTGGTGGCGGTGAGGTCATTAATCTGTTTTCGGTAGATCATCAATAGCGCGAAAGATAGCAGCGATGCTACGGTGTATCGGTAATGGGAGCCCTCAATAACCTCTGCGACCCTAAAATCTTCGTCCTCCTCCACCGTCCTTTCCCACACTACGCAGGACCTTCTCTCCACCGGCCACCATCTTCCCCGTATCCTTCTCTCTTTCTTTTGTCCCCGAGAGAGAGGATACCCTCTTATACATATACACACCGTCCCTTTTCTCTCTTTTCCTCGTTCGCGCGGGTGCTATACACAGCTTTTACTTTAGGAGAAGCTCGTCGGCTAATTTGTACCCGCAGATAACCACCGACCCACCGAGAATCTTGCACCCGTCCGTGACATCCTTCCAAACTCCACCGCAGAGGACCGTTGGCGAAAACAAAAAAAGAAATTGACCACTCCGACTGGCCGAGGGACAAATAAACGAGATTTAAACGCGGGACCAGAAAGTCTGTTTCGGTCGTCGCACACGACGGAATCGCACCCTTCGACGTCTATCGACGGAAGGCACCGCCGTCGTCTCTCCTCTCCGCCGTCCTCTCATCCAGCGTGCTCGAAAAAAGATTTTTCGTATACCATCCCCTAGCGTGTCCTCTTTGCCCTTTCTTCCATCTGGAAATTAATTAGCACCCGGTGCCTGGTAACGCGCCACCATTAAGTAGAAGCTGTCGCTTAAGATAGCGCTTTAAGAGCTCTTCTTCCGAGACGCGAATGGCGTTATCTCCGACGATGCGAAAGGGCAGAGGAGAAGGAAGAGAGGGGGAAAAGAGACGTGGAGATATACGACTTGGGCTCTTTGAGCGGTCTATCGCATCTCTCTGACCCCGAGCGAACCTCGTAAAATCGTCTAAAGGAAAACAGACGACGTTAGCATGCAAACGCGCGTATCAAAGTGCACGGCTGCCAAGTGAACTCTCCTCGGTGCACCGAGAGACTCGTCGCGCTTATCGCTGTGTATTGGTAGAAGAATTTTACGTTTGGGCTACTTAAAGGCAGCCACCGCGGGCTCGTTTAATCGACGATGAATCCAAAAGCGGCCGCGTTCGCGATCGGCAATTCGATAGCGGAGGTGAACACGTGGTAAAAGTTGGACAGAGCGAAACGAGGGGATCCGGAGGAGGAGATTGCGGCGAGTGGCATAAGCGCGAGGAATGTCTCCGGCTAAATTCCCTGGCCACGGAATCACTCAAATCGATCGAACGCGACCGCTTTCACGTTAAAAACCGAAAGGAACAGATGCTTCGGAAACGAGAGAGGTTTAATTGGTAAATTTCGTTTGATTCGCAGCGCGACCTGCTTAATGAGCAACTCCGTGGACGATTGGGTGAGCGGCAACGCCGTGGTCTGCAACGGTATACCTGGCCTGACGAAGGAGCAACGCGAGCTATGCCACAGAAATCCGGACGTGACGGTGGCCGCGATCAAAGGTCTGCAAATCGCTATATCCGAGTGCCAGCATCAGTTCATGTGGCACAGGTGGAATTGTTCGTCCCTGACGCCGAGCAGCAGGACCCAGCAGAGCAGCGTTCTCCTTCAGAGAGGTAAGAGGGACGCGGTTCGGGAGAATATTTAAATGGCCGCGAACGTAAAGAGAAAAGAGTTTGTTCTGGTTGTGGAGGGAAAAGGTGAAATCTTTTACGACGTCGTTGACGTCGACGAAGCGGCGTAGGCGAGAGGCGACGCGCTTCCTTAAATCAAAATACGGTGTGTAGCTGTGGCTAAGTTGCGGCCCAGCTCCGAGAACCTGTCCCAAAATCCACGGGTCGGAGCGAGAGAAGAGACGAGGGCGGGACAAGAAGAGAAGAGATTGCCCCCTCGACTGTCCTATTCCAGTGTGACATATAAATTCGTCGTGGCGCGTACGTGCGTCGAAAGAGGAAACATATATCGTGTCGGACGAGTGCGCGAGAGCGCGACATCGAGCGCACCTGACCTGAAAGCTTAAGATCGTCCACGATCTCGGTGCCCGCCACGTCTGCCTTCTGCGTTATCTGTCTCCGTGGATCGGTACACCGTTTTTTTGCTCACGGCCCAACTCGAGGTGTCGATTCCACGACTTTTTCCCGAGTTAGCTTGTACCAACCGTATACGCGCTCGTCGGCAGATTTTTCCTGGAAAAATCTCCAGAGGAGGTCGCTCGATTCGCCGATTATCCACTCTCTCTCCTTCTACACGTCTCTGTTTGAACCTGGTCGATCGTGTCTCGAGTTTGACTTGGAAGTCAGAGGGCAGCAGCTTCCGAGAAACGGCCCGTACTTTACCATTACCAACGGTTCCAGCTTTTTAAGAACGACATCGGTGGCCAGGTGAGGGTCCCGCGGTCGTTCGAGAAATCCACCGTGTCAAATTCGTGCCGGCTACGAATCTCGAAGGAGAACGCGCGTCGTTAAATCTCTCGGACACGGTCCTCTTCTCGGTCTGCTCCTTCTTCCATTCTCTTGGCCCTCTGCCTCCCTCGCCCCGTTAGCCCTCCTCCTCCACTCCTCCCTCTCGCCGCGTCTCACTTTTGCCACGTATTCGTTAAACCTCGGCAAAACGACTTAATGTATTATTATGAAATGTACACGAAACGCTCCTCTCTTTCCTCTCTTCCTCTTTGCCTCGCCTGTAGGCCCACACAAGGCGACCTACTACGACGACATTCGACTTTGTGAATTTCTTCAATGTTGGTGTACCGAATGCAACGAAAGCCTATCTTTCATAGTAGGGAGAAAGAGAGAGAGAGAGAGAGAGAGAGAGAGAGAGAGAGAAGTGTGTCAAGTGCCTGGAATATAATTCTGGAAAGTTAAGAGAAGCGTTAAAGTCGTGCGGACGCGACGAAAGAGAAGAAGGCGCACGCTCCCGTAAACATTACCGAGCGCGTATACCCGGTCGCGCTATCTATTGAGTTATCTAAACAGTGATTTGGGCTTGACACAGGATAGCAGGGTAAGGCCTGTGCGCCATCCGTCACCGCGTCCCTGCGTAAAGTAAAGAGGCAGGCCCCTCTGTGCACCTCAGCCCCGTTCTCCTCTTCCTTCCACCTCGACCACTCGCTCTCTCCACTGTCCAACACAAGAGACGTACAACTCCCCGTGGAGGATTTATTACTAGTCCCCTCTTGCCACCGAGGCACCAGCAACAGCAGCAACGGCAGTTACAGTAGCTCCAGCCCTCCAACAGTTATCTGCATTATAAAACAGTTGCTGCCAATAGCCGTATAAAGCGCAAGCTTTCAGCAGCCAGCCCTCCCACCATCGGACCATATAAAGAGCCGTTTTCGTCCCCTTTCGTCTCGAAAGCCGGTCCCCGGCGAACCAAGGAGGTTATCATCCTCCGAAACGGAGCACGCGATATCCGGTCTCGGCGCATCCGCGGGGGGATGCGCTCTTTGTGCCAGAATCGCGTCCTTCGTCGTCGACGTTTCTATCGCGAAGCGCAGATCTGGAAAAAAATGTGGAGGCCGGTTGGGCGCCGCGAGTGTCGAGCGTTTAACGTCGCCGTGTTTCGTACGCGGTCGACGAAGGGCGACGTAATCGAGTACCGGCTGTCCGATCTCGTCCACCGAAACGAATCCGTGCTGTCGGTCGATCAGCTCCGTCCACGGATCCGTCGTTCGATTCGACGATTCTTCGCCTGGCGGAACATCGGTCGAGGTAAAAGGAGACGTACGGAGAACCTCGAGCGAAATCGCGATGCCAGAGAGTTTCAGGGACATCGCGTTGTTTCTTCCCGATTGCTGCTGGCTGCTGGTAGAGCCGCGATGGAGGCGCGGTGGAGGCGCGGTGGAGGCGCAGCTCTCGCGGAGGAGAAATTAGAGCGTTGAAAATGATCGGGATAGGCGGCGCATGGCTGGTCGGTTTGTTCGCCGGGCCTTGACGCGAATCGCGTTCGGAACGTGGTCTCGAAACGGAATGAACAAAAGGGATGCTTGTTGAAGGGGGACGACGTAACGACAGCGCAGTGGCTCATCGGGTGTCGAGAACGAATACCACAAATCCTTTCGAATGTGCCTTTAGCGCGTCTCCCCGGTATCTCGCTCTCATGAATACTGCAAATACCGCCCGGTATTCGTGGATTGGAGTAGCTCTCTTTCTCGAGGCAGCCAGGGAACCAGGGGTAGAGTAATGTGTGGCCATTGTCGAGCAGTCGTGGAGAAAGGGACAGTTCTCCGAGAGCGCGTATTCCGTGCCCGCCGGCAGTCGTGTGTCGTATCGTTTGTAAGTTGACAGCCACCATTGCGGTTTGACGATCGGCCATCCGTCAATCCGACTCCACCGACGAGAGCTTCCACAGACCGGGGACCGAGAGGTAGCGAAGAAAAAGTGCGTTTCACGTCGCATTACTTATCGAACTGGTCCAGCCCAAAACCTTAAACCCTTTTATTCATCGATTCGACGGATTTCCAAATTCTCCTTCAGGAATCGATCGAAATCCGTCTCATGTTCGGGCCCTTTCTTTTATCCTCTCGCTCAACTTTCATTATACCTGATCGATCTCGACGATGGCCACGCACGCAAACACGTATAGCCTGTGTACATCGATTGAAAATTAAGCGCGGTTCGAGCATCGAAAGACGGAGGCGCAAAATTGGTTGGAAAACGCGAGGATCGACGGTGGTCAGAGTTTGGCATTGCGTCTTCGGGCAGCCCAGCGTGAGATCGTTTATACATGCAGTCAATGGATGCCCGGCGGCCGCCGCTGCTGATGGCCACGCTTTGTTTTGACGGACGGCTGAATAATCTACCTCTGAACTTCGTTTGATGGCTGTCTGTCGGCCGATCCGTCGTACGATTCGTCGGACTCGCTACCGAGGCTCCTTCTACGGAAGCTCGGCTCCACGGTGTCCCGCTGCTTCGCGTTCTCCTCGCTCGCGGCACAAGCGACGAACGCGATCGCCGCTGTCGCGCGTTGCGTACATTACTCTCGTCTCTGGGCCCACATCACCGTGGACGAGCGCCGGCAATTTGCTAACCGTCGCGTCGTCCCGTGTCTTCTTTCGAGCCGAACCGAAGAGGAAAAGAGCGCGTGCTACCACCGACGGTATTCAGATAACGATCTCTCGAGATTGGGGGCCTCTACGCGCCTCCCTTCCTTCTCAATTCGAAACGATAAACGATAAACGACAAACGATCTCCGGGTGTGTAAGCCAATGTTTGATTTCAGGTTACAGAGAGACCGCGTTCGCGTTCGCGATTTCCGCAGCCGGGGTAGCGCACAGCGTGGCTCGCGCGTGCAGCATGGGACGGCTGCTCTCCTGCGGATGCGACCCGTCGAGCTACAAGGGTAAGCCGCCTGCCAAGGCCAGGGGCACCCAATGGAAGTGGGGCGGCTGCTCGCACAACCTCGACTACGGCATGGAGTTCTCGAGACAGTTCCTAGACACGCGCGAGAGAGCCGGGGATATACAGTCGACGGTCAATCTCCACAACAATCAAGCTGGCCGCTTGGTAAGCCGTTTGATTAATCTTCCCTTTCATTCTCCCTCTCTCTCTCTCTCTCTCCCACCGCCACTCGCGAGTCTTGCTCACTCGCGAGAAATATTTCATTCCGTGACAATATACTTCTACTTCTCCCCTCGAGTAGATTTTTCGAGTTGCCCCATCTGGTTCCGCTGGCTGGTTGCGTTCGCGTTTTAACAGCGATTCTCGACCGCGCCGATGCTAGAGCAAAGCGGAAAGAAAGGAGAAGCGAAAGAGGGAGGGAGGGAGCGAGAGGAAGGAGGCGGCGAATAGGGGTGGAGAGGAGGTGTGTAGGAGAAGAACCGAGTCCGTTCCTCTCCTTCGTGCACCTCTCCACGCTCGGTCTCGCCTCGACGTTATTAAGTCGAAGCCCGGGGCTGGACCACCCAGCCGTAGACTCATTAACTGTTTTGTACGCGACACCTCTTTGTCTAAAGGAAATTGCCCCCTCCCCTATTCTTTCTCTTGAGCCGCTGGTGTCCGTGCGACCACTCTTGACCGCTTCTCCTCCTCCCCCGTACTCCCTGCGCACACCGAATAGCTGAAATTTCTTCCCCCGTTTAACTCCTCTTGTTGTTTCCATCCTGAAAATTCCATCGGGAAATTTCAGGCGGTGGCGAGCAACATGCAAGTGCGCTGCAAGTGCCACGGTATGTCGGGTTCCTGCGAGCTCAAGACTTGCTGGAAAGTGGCGCCGGACTTCCGAATAGTCGGGAAAACGCTCAAGGACCGCTTCCGAAGCGCCGTGTTGGTAGCGCAGAGTAATCTGGGCAGCGTGACCCCGCTGACCAGAGTGAGAGGATCGCGAAGAAGAAGGCCGGATCGACAGAGGCAGAGGAAACATCGCGGTGGTGCGGCCGGTGGAAATGGCGGAGGACGGAAGAGGAGACCTCGAGATCTCGCCAAGCAGCTCTTCTACTACCAAAAGTCGCCAAATTTCTGCGAGAGGGACCCGAGCGCGGATATACCCGGCACCGCTGGTCGTAGATGCAACAAGACCAGTTCCGGTGGAGACGGATGCAGCAGCCTGTGCTGCGGCAGAGGTTACAACGTCGTGAGACAACGACGCGTGGAGAGGTGCAGCTGCAAGTTTCACTGGTGTTGCTACGTGAAATGTCAGAACTGCACGGTGGAAGAGTGGATCACTGTTTGCAAGTGAAACGCGGGATCCTCGAAGAACTTTCTCGACAGGAAGTTTACGTTCGAAGCGCGAAATCCGACATGATCGCGTGTAATAATCCTCGATACACACACGGATTAAATCGGATCAGGGTGTACGCGAGCGGTATTCCAATCTGATTACCACTTGGGTCGTTATCTCGTCGTTTAAGAATCGTGACATTTTAATCACTTTAACCACAAGAGGATGGACGAACGGAGTAAACGTGGTCGAAAACGACCGGGAGATACCGAGTACCCAGCCGTAATTGACCGAATCGACGCCTATTCATTCGGTGACCGTACTTTTATTCACGCTTACACTACACACCGTGAACACGACAGCGTCGGGTCCCCAGAGACGAGCGTTCGCGACGGAATATTAATTCTTCTTAATCGCGCGAGTAATATAATTTAATCGGTAGACTGTAAGCGAGCCAATAATTTATTTATAACAGGTTGCCTCTATTTAAATTCGTAGAATAATTTTAATATCCACAGCAACTGTAACACCTCTGTCACACAGTATTATTAGAAGAAGCAATGTGCGCGTGTAAGATTGGGAATGGATGCTGCGATTGTATACAATTAAACAATGTGCGTACAATAAAGAGTTCCTTCGACCGATAACTCGTCGTCGTCCTCCTCTCTCTCTTCTCTTTCCCAGCCGACTCGATCGCGACTCGATCGCGTCCCGTCGATACAGCCGGCCGATTACAACCAGTTCCCTTACGCAGAAATCGTTCGAAAGCGTAACTCTTTCGGACAGATTTACAGATGACCGAAGCCTTTCCGATACTTTTATTCCTTGCTCCGATAGATTCGTTCGACCTTCTTTTCCATCGATCCAACGATAAATTGTCCCGTGTTAAAACCTTGGAAAAATCTGTGCCAATCCCACTTACATGCCAAGCGAAAAGACCATTTCAACGTTATTGCGAAACATCACAGGTACATACACTCTCTCTCTCTCTCTCTTTTTCTCGCGCGCGCGCACGCTACCGTCTACTTCTTGACTTTCGTTTTCGATACGTTTCCAAGTGTCGCGATTCTATCTCGCGTACTTTTCACCCCTTCTCCTTTCCAATCAGCAGCCTGAGCGCCGCGCCGTTCAAAGAGGGACCCTCTTCTCTCTTCACCAGCATCGATAACGCTCGACAATTATCCAGTGTTGAATCGCGAGCATCGAGAATCGAACGTTCAACGACTCGAAGAGAGCCACTGGAATTCACCGGTGGCAAATTGAGTTTTCGTATCTATACGCTATGACTAGGTTTCCGATTAGATTAGCACCGAAATCAGACGAGGACAGACTTTCGTAATCGTATTTTACGCGGGTCGTTGCTCGCCGCAACGTCGATAGCCGATAATCCAAAGTATTACCCTTACCATTTAGAATCACCTCTCTTGATCAATCGCTCGAACCGCGGGTGTTCCGTTAGAGAATTAGAGAACTCGTACAGTTACGACGTCCCGTCGGAAAACTCGGTTTCGTTTCTGGCGTACGAAAGCCCATGAAAACGTCTGGCAGGAAGACGCGTCGCGTCTCGTCGCATCACGTCGTGTGGCACGCCGCGTATCCGCATTAACCGCGGCTCCCTTTGACAACTACGCCAGCCAGGACGACCCTGAAGAAGCCGCGATAAAACGCATTAATTTATCACGCGACCCTCGGGAGATCTTTTTCAAGGCGCATCGATCCAGCCAACGAGATTAGAAGCGGGAGCACGACGCGACACTTTTTACCGCTAGCTTACCTGTGTACCGCCACGACAATTATTCCCGTGCCCTTGTGCTTCGTAATTCGCGACACGTTCGCCTTCACCTCAACGTCGGACAATGCTGATTATGCAATTCCCTTATACGCACGCCTCGATCAATCCCGCCGATTGGGGATAACAGGAAGGAGGGAACGCGAGGGAAAACGATTCCCGAAAGGAGAGAACGTTGCGAATACGTGGAGAGAGAGGAGAGCAGATAGAAAGGGAGAGAGTCGGGGCTGGACGACGATCTCGGGAACGAAATCAATGAGCTAACAGGCTTGCGAGTTAGCAGTTAGTTAATTAAGTCGGCGTTATTGGATCATGGAAGCCAAGCACCCCTCCCCAGCAGCACCCCCTCGACGCAATCGTGACTACCGCCCTACGCGAGCGTCGTAGAGCTCGGCTCTTACTCCGGCACACGAGCATTGCGAGGGTGGACGCCGCAGGGCCTGCACAACCTGCCAGACGTTTTAATTAGAGGTGAGTTTCATCGCGAGCCACGCTAAGAGCCACCACCCCCCGTTCACTTGTCCCTTACGAGTAAGTGTTTTGCACCTTCTGTTTCGTCCGCCGCTACAACCTTCCACAGGCACAAAGTAACCTCTCCTCTAGCCGTCATCTTCTCGCCTCTTGGAAAACCGATGAGCCGATGAGCCGACGACCCGTATAACCCGCGTAAACACAGTGGAACTCGTGGCGAATAAATATTCTTCCCGCTTCTATTCGAACGTAATCGGCCAGTTTCGCCGAGCAATCGTGGAAAGAACGGAATTCCACCGATATTTATCCACGATACTCGGGGATGCTCCAACTCGACGAGGAGCAGCAGCAGCCGCATTACTCCAGGGATGCCTGAAGATCGCGAGGTTCGACGCCGAGCAGACACCGAGACCTTATCGCTTTCGACTGGATCGCGAATAATGCCGCAATTAACAAGTTTCTCGTGGCGCGGTCAGAACAGAAGGAGAAACGATCGAAGCAGTGAGTGAGAGGGAGAGAAGCGTTCCCCGAAAGGGAAAATGGCTGGGTGTAAGGGAGGAAGGAAAGAAGAAGGAGGTGTATACGCGAGGTGCTTTACGTTCCACGGTGCGCGTCTCCAAGGTGCCGGAACATGTGTTTCAGAATGTTTTGCGGGGAGGCCGGGAAAAAGAGAGAAATCCGTAAATACAGAGAGAACGAGGGAGGACAGGAGGAGTAAGAGAAGGAGGAGGATGAGAAGGAGGCAGAAGGAGGAGGAGGAGGAGGAGAAGGAGGAGGAGGCGGCGGCGGCGGCGGCCCAGTCGTGAGCCCAGTGGAGAGCGTTCGTCTCGCGGAGGTAAATCCAGGCAGGTGTCGTCTCGAGCCAACTTCGGTGGAGCAAGAACGACGAAGACGGACAGGCGGTAGTTCGTACCGATCCTCTCGTATCGGTATTTCCAACGAGAACGAGAAGGGAGATGAAGAAAAAAAGAACAGACGCGCACACACGGTCGGACGAGATACATTGTGGTAAGACAAGACCGAAAGAAAAGGGAAGGAGAAGGGAATCGCAGCAAGCGCGAGCCGCGAGCCGCGAGCTCGAGAAGAATATAGCGGAAAGTTAAATGTTGCATGAGCTTCGAGGAAGAAGAACAGCGCGGAGATTCCCGGTATCGATTAACCCCCTGACGGAAATAACGTACGAGCGGCACAACCAACGGCCGCGATTTTTCGATCCGTTCGCGGTCGATCGCGAGAACAGCGACACCTCCGCTCCGACTCGGAATCCCAAAGAGGCGCGACGCGTGTTATCTGCCGAAAGGATCGATCCTCGATAATCTGTAAAAGGGAACGGCGAGAGAGTGGTTGACACACGGGGTAGACCGTGTCTCACCCGGCACCGAGATCCGCGCGCGTATTTCAACGAGGTTCGATATCGAAGACCGCGCGCGATACGCCGATACACCAGTTTTTCCTCGGCGCGAGGCCGCCGAATCGAGTGAACGACGATTTGCGTCTACTAGTTTTTCCGATTAACGAGACACACGCCGTCCACGCGGAGAGACAGAAAAGCGAGAGAACGAGCCACTTGTCACCAGTTTACCGTACTTTCCGGCGAAAGGAGTGTCGAACCCTTTTCAACCGGTCCGAACCGGTCGGCT